AGACAAACCTTGAGCGCATTTAACCTCAGCTAATAAAATTTAAATTTTAAAGTATAAAAACAGTAGGCTGGGCAGCGCGTTCAAAGGATGTTTTTGCAAAGAGCATTTGCATGAACGAAATGTGTCTCTTTGAAGCATTGGGGCAACTGTGTCCTTGCAGAATTCTTGCAGCTGCTTCTAAAGTTGCTCCCTACTACATCTGCATAAACGGTTATCGCAGTTAGGATTGGGAAGGTAAAGCAAACCTCCCATCCTTTTTTTAATAGCTGGGTGGAAGAGGGAAAGTTGGCTGATGTTCTTTGTAAGAGTGTCTTGGCCACTCTTGGCTCTGCTGGCCCAAATTCTCTCTGCTACTCAACCATTGAAAGCAACAAGTCCTGTCCTTTGATTCTTGTCATCAAGTCACGGATTCAGACAAGTGGAATGGAAACAATTTACCTTCTGCCATGAGTAAGGTTGAGCGATGGGAGAGTCAGTACTTTGTTTATGGGAAAATACTTCCTCGTTAAGCTGGACTGACTCACGTTCCTCAGATGCAATGAAAGAAAAATCACGCACCCTTCCATGAAAATGCAGTCTAATGTAATTTCATAGTACTTCATTATTCATTTACATTTGGAAGCACTAGGAGAATGGAAAATTCTGCTTCCTGACTCTCTCTAAAACATATTGAATAAGCAACAAGGCAAATCTTATTCATACTACAGTGGTACCTCGGGTTACGAACTTAATCCGTTCTGTGACTCTGGTCACAACTCGAGTTGGTCGCAACCCGAGGCAAATTTCCCCATAAGGTTCAATGTAAATACGGTTAATGCGTTCCGCCCTCCGAATTTGGTCGCAACCCAAGGCAAATTTCCCCGTAAGGTTCAATGTAAATACGGTTAATCCGTTCCGCCCTCCCTCCGAATTTGGTCACAACCCGAGGCAAATTTCCCCATAAGGTTCAATGTAAGTACGGTTAATGCGTTCCGCCCTCCGAATTTGGTCGCAACCCAAGGCAAATTTCCCCGTAAGGTTCAATGTAAATACGGTTAATCCGTTCCGCCCTCCCTCCGAATTTGGTCACAACCCGAGGCAAATTTCCCCATAAGGTTCAGTGTAAATACGGTTAATCCATTCCGCTCTCCCTCTGAATTTGGTCACAACCCGAGGTAAATTTTTGCGGCTGGAGCTGGTCGTAACCTGAAAAGTTCGTTAACAGAGGCGTTCATAACCCTAGGTACCACTGTATTTGGAATCTCCATCTGTATGTCTACTTTGCATTAAGAGGGGTTGTTATGAGATGAAAAAACTGAAATACATATAAAAAGGTGTCACTAGCAAGCGAATTGTCCTGCTTAGCAATTAGTGTAGGTGAGGATGCATATTCTACATCATCTTTGTTAGATTAGGAAGTTTTAAAAAATCCCAGAAGGGATGGGAAGAAGCTCTTCCATATTGTTGCCAAAGAAAATGACATGAATATGTCTGGGTATCGCTAGAGTTGAGCCGCATTTGAGAGGGAGTTTTTTACTTTTACATTTGATGTTATGGATTCTTGGGAAATGGTATTGGGTATGGTTTCTCCCTGAAATCCCCCAAACCCTCCTCAGATTTGAAATATGGAAGATGGGAATTGCTGACGCTGATCGTGTGCATCACCAGCAAATCTCATGCTACAGCAAGCCCAGGGTCTCTGAAATGTATTTATTTATTTATCAAATTTGTATAGCCACCCATCTCACAAATGGGACTCTGGGCAGCGTACCATAAAACAATTAAAAACAAGTCTAAACAACCATTAAAAACCAAACATATATATAAATAAGACCACGGGAGAATGGACCAACATCCCATACGCAATGTAACCATGTCACAGGCTCTCTGTTTCCATGGGATCCCCAAGGCTGCTGCAGAAACCATGTTTTAAGAAATTTCTGGAAGGCTAATAGGGTCAAGGCTAACTTCACCTTCAATGGTGTTCCAGAGGACAGGTGCCATAGCAGAAAATGCTCATCTCCTGGGTCCCATCAGATAGAGCTCTTTAGCAGACAGGACCTGTAATATGTCCCTCCTGCCAGACCTGATGGGAAGGGTAGATGTAACCAGGAAGGGGGAGTCCCTAAAATAACCTGGTCCCACACCATGTAGGGATTTAAAGGTCAAAAAAAGCTCCTTGAATTGGACCCAGAAGCAAACTGGCAACCAATGCCGCTCATGGACCAGAGGTGTAGCATATGCTGTCCTACACATATCTGCATTTTGCACCCGCTGAAGCTTCCGGATGCTCTTCAAGGCCAGCCTCATGTAGAACACATTACAGTAGTCCATTCAGAAGGTGACCAAGGCAGAGCCTCATGATCCAAGAACTGGCAAAACTGGCACACAACATGAAGCTGTGCAAGGCCCCTCCTAGCTATGACTGCCACCTGCTCCTTGAGCAGGAGTTGTGAGTCCAGAAGGACCCCCAGATTGTGCCACGTTTGTTTGAGGCAATGTAACCCCATCCAGCACCAAAGATGGTAAAGTCCCAGACCCAGAAGGCCAGCCTTTTGCTCCCCGTCGAGACCCCCACAGCCTCCAGACACCAAAACAAGACAACAACAGCACTGCTTAGTTTGTCAGGGGCAGAGATATATAACTGAGTACCATCAACACACTGATGATACGTCACCCCATGGTGATGGATGATCTCACCCAATGGCTTCATGTAGATGTTAAACAGGAGGGGAGACAATACCAAACCCTGTGAAACCCCACATAGTAGGGGCTAGGGGTGGGACCTCTCACTCCCAATCAACCCCAACTAGTAGCAGCCCCACAGAAAGGAATAGAACCAACACAATACAATGCCACCCACTCCCACCCCAAAGAGCGGATCCAGAAGGACACCATGGTCGATGGTATTGAAAGCCACCAAGAGGTCAAGTAGAGCCAGGAGGGATGCACTACCCTCATCCCACTCTCACAAGAGAGCATCCAAGAGCACAACCAGTGCCATTTCCATCCCATGCTCAGGCCTCAATCCTGACTGAAAGGGTCCAGATAATCCACTTCATCCAGGGTCTGCTGAAACTGTTGTGCAACCACTTCTCCACAACCTTCTCTAGAAAAAGGAGATTGGATACTGGACAAAAATTGTCCAGAATGGTAGGATCCAGCAATGGCTTCTTGAGGAGGGGATGCAACAATACCTCCTTAAGAGGTAGAGGAACAACTCCCTCTCTCATGGAAGAATTCACCACCGTAGAACCCAATTGTCAGGTTTAGCCCAAGGAACTCCAAGAGACAATGCAAAATCAGTTCAGCTATGTTTATTGCCAACAACCCCTAGAAAGAACCGCCCCAGACGAAACCCAAGCCCCCAAGCCAGCCAGCCACAACACCGTGAATTCCTCAGTTTGGGGCCAGCCTCTTACTCTTTTTGTGCCCACGCTCCTGTGGTGAACTATTGCAATGTATAA